AAGTATTTTCGATTATACGTATGTAACCGCACAAAAATAGCCAAGTAACACGTTTCTCTCGTTGTTATGATTGTAAAGCGTAAGCTAAGGTACGGTATTGCGTGACAAGGTCTCGTGTTAACGGTCCATCGTGGGAAGAATAATTTCAGAGTTAAAACATTATTGATTACATCTCTTACAATCTCCATTTTTATTCACAAAGCAGAAGCATATAATTGCTCGAAATAGAAACGATACATAAATGAAACTTTGGGCAAATTTTCGGTAGGAATCGAATATATTCCATCAAAAATTTTTTCCATACAATACCGGAATCTTTCAAATAAAATCCATTTGCAACAATGACAATACTTATTGCAACTTTATAAAATATGCTCCGTTTTATTTAAGATTATAACATTTTAAATAATCACAGGCGAAGAAGATAGACACTCTTCGTTGGAGCTGAACGTTCATGGACCGACGGTAAGAGGATGGCAGAGTTCAAGAAGATGTACATATCCTCAAGAACTCATTCTGCGCCTTCATGGCCCGACGAAGCTTACGAGGATACAGGTCTTGGCTCATCAATATTTAATTCGTAAGTTCCCATCGCTGCAAACAACGCAACGTATAGTACATTTGTCAAGTTATTATCTTTCTTTTTATTTCTTACCGTGAATCATTTTATGAAAATTTAATGTCACGGTGTAACAGAAACTGCCGAGTTTCTCCGGTAAGCAATTCAGTAACAATGTAAATCGAATTAGCACGGCAGCCTCGATTTCCTCAGGCTAGGTCGTTTTGGCCTTCTCGTTTCACTCCCGTTTCTTATTCCACTCCGGGCTGAATACCGCGCAACGTTCTACTCTTCATTATTTATAAATTCCTCTCTTCTTCTTCGAACAACGCGTTAACGAGAGAGCAACTTAATAATACTTACGTCAAATGCTTGCAGCTGAAAAATTGGAGATTTGGACATCGAGGGAAGAGAATGCATCCGTGACGACAGAGTTCAGTTATTTGGGTTATATTACGTTGTCCGACAATGCCTCGACTATGTACAAAAGTAGAGAGCTGAAAAGCGTTGCCCTCCCAGAAACAGAGGCGGTCACGCTAAAACTAAGACTTCACAAACCGCACAGTAACGCGCACAATGTTTATCAGCAGGTATATGATCTATAATCATAAGTCATATGCAACGAAAAATATTACAACCGCATTTGGGATTATAGGTCGGACTTATCGCTATTAACATTCTCGGTGAACCTTACGGGCAAGAACTCACTGGCCAAGGAGATGCACCGTATAATCCCCATTACACATCGCCATATGACGATTTGGCGTTCGAAATGTACGTCGATCGCGAAGTAGCCAAGATCATAAGACAGATGGAAGCAAAAAAGTTACAAGCTGTAGAAGGTGTGTGTAAGAATTGTATCATTTAGATAAGAATAAACATTTTACGAAAGACTGTATATAAATATGCTTTTAGAGGAGAGATTCGAGTATGCTTCGAAACTTAAAGTAGCGATGGAGAACTTAAGGAAAGCTGGAGAACGTCTCGGAAAGTATGAACTGGAAAAGAAATATGCGATAGCGTTAGAAGACTACGACAAGGCTAAAGCGAAGAAGGCACAAGCGCAACAATACAGGCAACAAGTCTACCAGAGTTTAGAGGTGCAAGATCTACTAGAGCTTCATGGGGTAAGTACGCGTCTTTAAAATTAGTCTTTAATTAAGATTTGATATTTGTCTACTATACTCTTGTCTGAATAGCCATTGGAAAAGAACAACAAGTCGTCGATGGAAGGAAAGGAGTCTATATCGATAGATACCTGTACTTCGAATACAACTACTGTTCCTGAAGACATTACATCTCCTCCGAGATTAGTGATTCCACCAAATCGCGATGGAGCCATATCGCCGACTGGCCCGGCGCATCAGCCTCCTGTTTCGCCTTTGCATCAGAAACCAAACAGTCCTGGTAAATCAATTTACATATATATAAAGGAATTTTAACAGTTTAGAGTAATCAATTATCTGCAACAGAAGTTACGGATAGTCCCACAAACGGTGTCGTAGAGAGACAGAATAACTGCAACAAGGGTTCTCTCAGAAGAAAAACTAAATCGGCGGGGCCCGCACTACGTTCCAGCTACGAAGCTTATGAAGAGAGGACGATTCCTGCTTTAAGACAGTAAGACGAGGAAAAAGAAAAATGAAAAATATAGAGATTACCTTAAATTACGTTTCAGTTCGCACACAAACGAGTTCACAAGGGAATGCCACATGGACAATACGGAAACGAAAGTGATATCAAAATTGAATGATAGGGAAAAGAAGCAAGCCGCCTTACCTATCGCTGTTTTTGGAATGGAAATGGTAATATAAGTTTCAGACGGTTACATCAGTTAATTTATAAAATGATGATAATTAATAAAATTTATCGTTTAGGTCGAAAAATTTTATTCAAAACAATTCACGGATAAGGAGGAGGGCCTGATGCAATTGAAGGAGGAGCTAAAGACCTTTGATGCGGAAGTTTCAAAACATTCCGCGAATAAAACAGCCAGAGCTGCAATCTTGCTGCTGCATAGAGCTCTTAGAGATAAAGTCTTCAGCGTATATAGTCTAGCAGCGCAATTAATTAGAATTTTCTTCTCAGAATTTGCAACTGATAGGTATTCACATAATACACTATATAATATTATTTAAAATAATCATTCAATCATACATATCTATGAGAAATTGCCATTGCCGTTTTAGGGTATCTTCTGCGGAAATTGCACGAAGCGTAGAAAGACTACTTCCTGAATTACTGACAAAATCAGGCGATACTACTCCAAGAATTCATAACATGGCAGTGCATACAATACTCAGTATGGCAGATTGTAAATGCGTCAGAGAGTTGCATATTATTCCTGTGCACTTGACAAGACCCGTTAGTAGTAGCACTCATCAAAGATTAGCCCTTAGCAGGTTAGAAATGGTGGAGCAATTAATTCTCAACCACGGAATATCCACTGACAAACAAAGGTGACTCAAAATAACGTAATCTCAATAGTAAATTTTATATCTGATATAATGAACCAAAGGGCATCAGACCACTGTCTGTGACAATCGATATGATTTTATTTGTGAATGTCACTTGCAGGGGTCTGTCCTCAATGTTAAGACTGATTCGTTAAAACGCAATTACTCTGATAAGGCATTGTAACTGTTGTAGTGGACTCACTTGTCGGACCTTATCAGAATTGGGTTCCTCGGGATTGCATCATCCAGCAGAAGCGGTTAGGAAAGTTTCCGAGAGAATTTTGGTATTGGTGTACAAGGTAAATCCCAGACTGGTCCGTAAGCAATTGCCTCCTGACGATGACATCACCAGAAGGAACTTATTGTACCGTCAACTTTTTCATGAATTCGACCTCATTGATCTTCAGGTATAGATTTTTTTATAAGGATTAGATATATGTATATGGAAGTCATATTTACGCTACTCCTTATTTGTTTATTGAAGAGGAAAAAGGAAGCGGAAGCGAGTCATAAAACAACAACACCCACGCGAACGAAATCAACGGAAAATAATGTAGCGAATTTAACGAAATCTCCTTCGAGAACGAGTCCTGTTGTGAGTACCGGAAGCTCAACAAGTATAACATCTCCGTCCGAGAATAGTACAGAACATAAAGGTGACAAGTGAGTAACATACAATCATATTACAAATATCTGTTTTATATATGTTAAAAATGTATTTCTTTTATAGGATATGCATATTTTGCCTCTCCAAGGGACAAGGATATTCCGAAGAGGGATTAAACATTCATTATTGGAGAAATTGCCCTATGTTAACAAAGTGTGAGGCATGTAAGCAAGTGGTGGAAATTTCATACTTGAACTTGCATTTGTTAAGTGAGTATTGTTTCTTTCATTTGATTGCATTTAATGCGTAGCACTAAATAGCAAATATATATCTTATTTTTCAGATGAATGTGATATGAGAAGCAATTACGTAAAATGTGACACATGCAAGCAGGCCATTCATGAAAATTCCTTCGAAGAACATAGAAAAGATAACAAGTGTACAAGTATGCAAACTTGTTTGATATAGTCTCTCTGAATATGAATAATGAATATGGATAACATCCATCATTATTTATGTTACAGAACCTATTGAAGGTTATGATCGTTGTCCATTGTGCTCCGCTCTTGTCAATCAAAATAAGTGGAGGGAGCATTTGATGGGTGATCATCCCTGTGCAAATAACCCTCGAAATAAATCAGGAAAAAGCTGTAAGTTTGATATTATTGAAATATAATGCATCAATAAATACAAAATTGGTTTCGTTTGTAGGTTCAAAATCGCCATCAAATTCTCAGAACCTCAGTGGAAAAATAACCACACCAACTAGTAGAGATTACTAGCGTCAACCGACAACTTCGAATCTTTCGGAGTGTAAAAGATTTTAGAAAAGGTTTTTCTTTTGTTTTCTTTTATAGTTTATCTATATGTTATGAGCTATCCAGCATTTTTCATATTTATATACTTGTATTTAAATGTTTTTTATAGCAAAACCCGTCCTTTATTAGTAGATATTCTCCATGTTAAACAAATTTTTAATCGTAAGTTGAAATCTTCTAATCCCTAGGATCTAGGAACCTTGTTATCAGCTAAATTTGAGAACGAAAGAAAATCTAATGCATACTGTAATTTAAAGCGAATATCAATGAGGCACACGATAGATATTCATCTTTTCCAACTTTAATATACAGTAGAAGCAGGAAGTTCTCTGCGATTTAATAACATATTGTTGAATACTATGGCAGTAGCCATCTCAGAATTAATGATTCCTCTATATCCGGCCATGTTTATAACAATATTTGTACTATAATCAGCAAAACATCTTAAATTTAATGGCCAAAAATAAAAAGGGAAAGAGTATCTGTCGCTCAAACTATATAAAAATTACATGTAATTTCATAAATTATTTCATAGAGAACGATTAGTAAAACAAAAGACATTTCCCATCAAATAATGATCATTTCTTTGTCCTATAAAACATTTTGTTTCGTTTCTATAAGATACATTTTGTCATGGCGCATTGGATATTCGCCTGTCAGAATTCCAATGGCGCGCTTTTATTAAATTTTAAATAAATGCAAATTTTTTACTTATTCTTATAACATACTGAAATTGATATCTTGAAAGAAATTAAAGGAACATCACTTTGTATTACAAAATTATGTGTTATTCTTTTAATTCGTCCGAAAATTCTGGCTTAATTTCTTTCTTTATGTTAATGTCTTTCCCATCAGCATCATTAGTAGTTTCATTGTTCGAGTCTACAGAAACAGCTGTAGAATTGTCTTGAGAAGCACGATTTTCTTTGTATTTATTTTTTTCTGAAATAATAATTCTAAGTAACATTTGAAATGTATGGTAAATACTTCAAAATACATACCAAACATCGAACAATCAGCTCTTAATAAACGTAGATAATGAATCGCATCATGTACATGAACATATGCTCTCAGAGACATTGTACCTCGCCATCCTACCATTTGCAATTTTAACGGGTTTTCTGTCCCTTCTTCTTCGTATACCAATATACAACTTCCAGTTGCTGAAACAACAAAAGAAACAATTTTTATAATGAAATTTATAATTAATGTTTAATGTTATAAAATATATTACCAAAATTTTGTAATCGTTCTTGTGTTTCCCGATTAAGTTTCACAATTTCTGGTGGTGTATTAGGATTATTGTTCTGTAACAACATTACTAGGTCATCTTTAGATAACCTAATTTTTCTACTATCGCCGATATATTGAATAATACTTTGTATTCCTTCATGTGCAAGTCTAAATGAACAATCCATGTTTTTATTGTCACAGCGTACAAACGTTTTTACGCCAGTATTTATTAATTTTATTTGATCTCCATTAGACAATACAACATCACGTATCGCGGGTGACGTGTAATAAATATTTTTCTTTTTTTTACCAATACATCGCACCAATAAACACCGAGGATCCAAGTCATTAGATATATTATAAAAGCTTCTAAAAATTTCGGTATTAAAGATCAATTAAATAAACAGGAAGTTAAAAAAATTTTCCACCCACTTAATAGATGACCACACATCTTCCTTATCATCGTCGAAGAAAATGAATGGATCTTCCTTAAATCCAGAAGCAAGTCTTCTGCGTTTTCTTTTGGATTCTCGTAATTTGTTCATATCGTCAAATATCTTTCTTCCATGCACATTTTTTGCTTTTTGTTCTTGTTCCAAACTTAATTCAATGTCGTCATCTTCACTCTTAGTATTTTGAATAACTTCATCGCTCTTGTGTGACGCACGTTCCCATGGTAAGTGATTTACCTTTTCCAAAACAGCCACAAAAAATCCTCCTGTATCTTGATGGTGTGGTAATATTCTCATACTGCATCATCAAAGCATTATTATTATGTAATTAAATCAATAACAATATTAATGAGAAACTCAATTTCTATTTACCATCTTTCAAAGTGAAATTTAGTTGCATCTTCAGGTTTTGGTGGAAACATTTTTGGACGAACTTGTGTTTGCCACTGTTCAGGTACATCTTCCCATGATTCATAATATTGTAGATCTTTTGATGCTGGTAACCAATGTGATATGCCTAGAGAGTACATCGTTAAATGTTTGATGCAATAGTGAAGTCGTACAATACAATACACAATGTATAATACAATATATACACAATATACGATACCTGGATCACACACTAATCCAGGTACTAAATCTCTACAATCAACTAATTGGACAGAGTCTTCAGTTTCAACGAGAAGCCTGTGAAGTACAGCTTCATTCTCTATTGGATTTAATGAACAAGTAGAATATACCATTCTTCCTCCAACTGCTAAAAGTTCTAAGCCTCTTCTTGCTATTCTAAACTGAATTCTTTAAATTTATAGATATATAAGTTATTTCTATTAATTAAGTTATACAGTGTTTAAGAAGAAATAATACTTACCCATGGAGATTGTTGCCATTTGCTGGACTCCATTTACACCAAATATCAGGGTTTTTTCTCATTGTACCATCACCACTACATGGTACATCGGCAAGTATTCTATCAAATCTATAACAAAATGTAAAAATTACAAGATCTTTATAAACAGAAATATTTTATTTCATATGTTTTACTAACTTTAGATGCTCTTTTGTACCATCTGGCTTGGTAGTAGCAAAATTAGGCAACACTGAGGCATCGTGATTTGTAATTAAAATAATTGGGCTGTTTAATCTTTTTGCTTGATGTACAAGCATATAACAACGATTATTGTCAAGATCATTAGCTATTACAAAACCCTCTGTAAAATATCAATAAAATTTGCTTAATTTGTTTGTAAATATTGAAAATTTCATTAATACCTGGAAATGCACTTCCTTCTTCAGAATGTATCATTTCAATAAGTTGGGCTGTCTTTGATCCTGGTGCTGCACACATATCCAGAACCTATTTAAAATAATTCCTTTCTATCTTTCAAGCTAAATTTAATGTAATAAATATTAGTAGATCAATATACCTTATGATTAGATTTTACATCTAATACTAAAGGTGGCACCATGCTAACTACTTCTTGCCTACTGATGCTTCCACTATCTGTTTCAACAATTAAAAAATTATGTAATCTAAAATATGCCTCAGATTTCCGAATATCTTTTCTGGTTAATTGCAACTGCCAAGCTAATCCATCGGGATAAAATGGTAAGCACTGCAATATATCCTTAGGTTTAATTCCTGCATTATTTTCTGAATCATCTTCGACATGTGCCTTTAAGATATCCTTAAAAAAATCTCCTTTAATAGTTTCAATTAATGCTTTAGCTTCTGCTTTTGATCCTGTAATTCTAAATGCCACTGGAAGATTCTTTCTCATGGTATTAATAAAGGAATCCCATTGTTCTTCAGGAACAATTTTCTGAGTTTTGTAATAATTTTCAAAATCCTTATTTTCTCTGATAATGTCTTCATAGTTATGGTGTGGAGTAGTATCCCACTCATTCTTTTTCTGTATAATTCATAAAAATTTTAAATACTGTTCACATGAAAAGAAATTTTCTTAGCAATTAGACACTGATTATTTTCAAAATATAGGAGGCTGATAAGTTTTGTATATGTATAATGTATAAGATAGAACATAACCGCAAACCTCGCAGCCGATGTTATTTATTTAACGATTAAGTTTGTACCTTCTGTTTCTCACGACGTTTTTCTGCGAAATTCTTTTTTGGCTTATGTTTCCGCCCTTTTCCCATTGTTTTTTGTAAAACAGTGTGCTATACTATCAATTACTCAACACGTGCTTATTAGTGTAATTACAGATGACAAGATCACTACTTTTTCTACAAGAACACAAGGCTCGTGTAAAATGTTTTCACATTAACAACCTATAGGCGGCGCATCTAACGTTCAAACTTATAATGCTCCAGTCATACATCGGTGATGTTTCAGTCGCGCCTCCAGATTTTCTCCCTAAGTAATGCCACTTCTCGCTAAAGCTCACGCGTTTTAGGTTGGCAATACATCACTGCTGTCGATTCATTAAAATATTCAATTATTTTCAGCGAGATACAATTTGTAACAAAGAAAGTCAGAAAATGCGCGTCTCTTGAAAATCCGTTCTTATATCCCACATCCTGCATTGCACGTCTATTTACTAAAATTGAGTGTTATGTGGCCAACATTCCAGCAAGCGCTAATCGAAACATTGCAAACTCATCTCCGATTTATATTAACTCTCCATCTACATACAGGGTCGTTTTTGACCAATAATTTTAAATAATTTTTCATTTCTTCCATATTTCCGTATAAGCTTTGCTTTACTTAAAAAAATTAAGGTCTCATTTTTATTTTAGGGATCAAAAAATTATTGACTATTTTTTGTAATTTTGCTGTTTTCGATGTGTAGACTCCGAAAATGCATATTTTAAAGTGAAAAATTCATTGGTTCAAAAGTTATAACCGCGATTATATAAACAAGTCTGAAAACATCTAACATATAACATGTAGTAATAGAAATTATTGAATGATATTCTAGAAACTTGGAAAAGTATTTAAAAATTTGTTTGGGTCTTTTTTTAAACACAAAAGTCTGAAAAAATAAGAAAAAAAAATAATAATAAGAATAAGAATATTATGAAAGTTAGCATAACATTGGTATAACATTGATAATAAATTGAATTTAAATTTGCGTAGCAGAAGGGATAAAATATTTGCAAATTAGAAACGTAAAAAATTATATAAAAGCTTATTAAATATTTAACGCCCAAAAAGAATAAAATCATTATTATGGTAGCCCACGTAATGTGTTTAACCTCTACTGGAGGAATTCCTTTATTTTCTCGCCAGAAAGGGGAAGGAGATACGGTAAAATTTACATAATTATAAACAAAAGAGTAATACATAAATCTATGTAATATCAATTTTAATTTTTCTTTTGCTCTTCCTTTTTCTTCCCAACATATTTATAGATGACATTTTCTAAAATAGCATCTCTATATGGGATACATATGTTTCTCAAATCACAAAACATTAAACTTTTGAATACAAATTTACCCGATACTACGATAATGTGGAAAGAATTTGAACAAAGTATTACATTAATAGTTATTGCAAGTGGAACTACCAAATCTGTATTGGATAAATTCTTAAATGCAGTTTTTGGTGCAATGATCTTGTTTGTTGGTATCGAGGAATTAAAAAATACCAAAAACATAGAAAAGCTGAAGAAAGATATGCGTTTGTGCAGTCCAATTGTTGATAGTTTATTGCAATGTCTTGATGTTGGCGATGGAATTTGTTCAAAAACTGATATTATCAATATGACAGAATGTATAATGTGCCAAGAAAATAATTTGTTTCAGGTAATTGAATTCTTTTTAATTCATGCATTTTCTGCATAGTAAATAATAATCTATTTAAGACATGCTTAGAGGGTTATATGGAATGTTTGGATTCTATATATGGATGCATCTTAGTACATGGGTGTTTAGCAGTAGCTACAGAAGGATGGTGGAATTTAAGTCCCATTGAAAGAAAATTATTAATAACAGCTGTTAATACAGAAGATACTTATAGCACGCGAGACATTCCAGTATTTTTACCTTATAAAAGTCCAAATGTGAGTATTTTCATTAAAAATTTTTAAAATACAATTTTTATTTATTAATCTAATAAGATTTATTTAAAAAAATAAGTTCAATTGATCATAAGACAATTCAATTGATCATATAGGTAGCTTTTAGATTAGTATCCATTACGTTGATCAATCAAGTTGAAGTATTAGCCTTATGTGGACCCAATCCGAGTTTATCAGAGATTGAACGATTTGCCATACAATGTTGGAAAAATAGTATTGACGCTTTACACAATGCAGAACAATGTTATCCGCGTAACTTACCTACATCTGTAAATTTGGATTCAGAGACACTTGGGTAATATATAATAGTACCATTTAATATAAATAATTTTATTTAGAAAAACCTATTATCAAAATGTATTATATAATATCTTTTTCTTTTCACTCCGGAATTTAGGTTTCTGTTAGCAAATTATAAGGTGCAAAAGTTTATACTTGGTAAGAATATGCAGTATGCAAAAAATAGAGTCAGTGGTTCACACAGATTGGACATATTAAGAACATTTTATCATCAAGCTGTAGAGACATATATATTATCTTCAGAATCTGAATGTGATACAACAGATGATAATTGGAAATTTGTTGGTGTAAAAGAAACTTATCTATGTTCAGAGTACCATAAATGTTATGCAGTTAAACATGGAGATCATATACTTTGCATTTTATGTGCCTCCACAGTTCCTACTCATACAGTAAGATTGGTTTGTCAAAAAATATTGAAAACATTGCTCATTGATAAACAAGGCTGCTGGTAAAAATTTAATACATTGATCTCTTTTTGCAATATCATCCCATTTTACTTCTATTGTAAAATTTACATTAACCCACCTTATATATATCCTGATACTATGTTTTTATTAGGTATAAGGAATATATATTGTGAACATAAAAAATATATAATAATCATTTGTAAATTAGGATTTATGTAAAATTAAACATATTTCATTAAATGTTAAATCATTTTATCATGTGTTTACTGTTTAATCACTTTAATTTGCAAATTAAATTATCATTCATTGATACTTTCCATTCATAATGTAACAGTTACATACATAACAATCGTGTTGTACAAACTATTATTTTGTTGTCAATGCATTTTATTTGTTAAGAAAAAAAAGCAAGAGAACAATCCTAAGTGAAACGATAGAAAAGCTGACTATCCTCCGATTTCAATGATTTTTGGATATGTTGTAAAATCCAACATTTTGGAAATGTATTTTCCGAGATATTCACAAAAAGATGCCACTACTATTACAGTGAATTCTGCCTATAGTTGTGCGTCTTTAGCAAGGTATGCGTCAACATTGGTTGCTGGCTGTTTATTTTCTGTTTATAAATAAAAGTGAGGAGAGCTTAAAGACACAAATGACTGTTACAACAGAATTAAAAATGAATATCACTAATATATTGAATTTGGATTTGGGTTAGTTTTTTCAATCCGGCCGGCGAAGCTTTCGTAAAATAAGAATTATTTTTTTTTTTCGTAAAATAATATCAATTAGTCATTCGGCTATGATTTTTATAAGTAATTTATTATTTTACGCAAGTGTTACCGACTGCCTCGTGGTGATGAGACTGAAAAACCTAATCCAAGTACAATACATTCATGATATTCTTTTTTAACAGAATTATAAATTGTAACAGACATTTTTTATAGCCTCGTATATGCACGTTGTACACGGTCTTTAAACTCACCCAACTCTCCTTTATAAACAGAACATAAGCGATCGGCGGATAGTAACAAATACTAATACATACCGATAGTTTTTCGATAACTACATATATCAATTATAAACCTTTTTGATATCGCTCTAATAAAGTGTCAGTTTTTATATTGTATATATGTATTTATCGAATATGTACGTATATACGCATGCGCGCATAATGATCTATCCATAGAGTATGTTATTTTGAATTATATATATTTACTTTCATACAATCATTATCATTACAGTGTATATTACATTAACTTGGCGAATGTAAAATGTCAGATAAACATTTCGTTTCTTATAACGTTTACATAATGTCGTAAAAATTTAACAGTATAAAGTATAATATATTTTTTTATATTTTGATGGATTACTGGCAAAACTAAAATTTAAATATGAGCAGAGTAACAAAAATTGCGGTTGATACACAGTTATATGATGCAACAAATTTTTACACAGGTTTAGGTTTAGCAATTAGTTCTAGTGGTTTTATAGGTTAGTTGACTGATTTTCTAATTTCGATTAGAAATTTATTTAAAACAATTTAGTATTGATTATTATACAATGTTATAATTATTTAGGTGCCAGTTTTATCATTAAAAAAAAGGCATTGATTAGATTACAAAGGCGTGGTGCATTACGAGCTTCATCCGGAGGATTTGGCTACTTAAAAGAATGGATGTGGTGGACTGGTCTTCTTTCAAGTATGTGAAACAGAAAATGCTTATACAATATGTACATGTCTTCAAGATATAATACTATTACTACAAAGAATATTGATTTCATTAAAGTGGCGGTAGGAGAAACAGCAAATTTTGCTGCTTATGCATTTGCACCAGCTTCATTGGTTACTCCATTAGGAGCACTTAGCGTTTTAATATCTACAATATTGGCATCAAAATATCTAAATGAGAAGCTTAATTTGCTAGGAAAGGTAATGATGTAATATATATTATAAGCTATCTTTATTATATAGGAACAAAAATATAAAATAACAAATAAAATAAATAAAACAAATAAAATTTTACTACAAAATAATACAATTTCTATTGAATATATAAAGATAAATATAATTACTATTATTCCAGATTGGTTGCCTTTTATGCATCTTAGGTTCCACAGTTCTTGTAATTCACTCTCCAAAAGGAGAAGAAATCAGTACATTAAATGAGCTTTTAGATAAGGTTAAAGATCCAGGATATATTATTTATGTATTAATTGTAATAGTATGCAGTATTTTGATTATTTTTTATTTTGGTCCTGCTTATGGAAATCAAAATATCATGATATATATTTTTCTGTGTTCATCCATTGGTTCATTGACCGTTACAAGTTGTAAAGGATTAGGACTGGCTTTAAAAGAAACCATTTTTGGATTTAATAATGGATTTACGAACTGGTTGACATGGGCCTTTTTATTTAGCGCTATACTCTGTATCAGTGTACAAATGAATTATTTGAATAGATCCCTCGACTTATATGAAACCACAATTGTAACACCTATTTATTATGTAGTTTTCACAACATTAGTAATAATTGCATCTGCAATATTATTCAGGGAATGGGAAAATATGAGTGCTGAGGATATCTTGGGTTCATCTTGTGGTTTTTTAACTGTAATAACTGCAATATTTCTATTAAATGCATTTAAGGAAATAGACATATCTTATGAGAATATCAGGCATATGCTGCAGCCTAAAAGAAAGTTGCTCATAAGTAGTAACAATCAATGGAGCGACAGGGATGAAGAGAGATTAATAACAAGGTTAGAAACAGAATTAAATCATACATATGGAGCTCAAAATTTAACAAGAACTATATAACTAATTATACATATACAAAGTAAAACATTGCAAAGCATATACATTGTAAAGATATGAATAACTTGTATTTAATGTGATTGATTTTAAAATAAATCTTACAAATTTCAAATCTTATTTATATCTATTATGTATATAGATCTTAGAAATTATTTTTCAGTAGAATTATCTTTTCTATTCATATTTTATATCAAGTCCTAAAAAAGCAATAGGTCTAAGCCTGCTTTTTTGTTTTGTATTCAAGTATCTTTTCAATTATAATAATATAATTACACATAAATGTCATAAAAGTCATATAGAATTTATTGTCAAATTTGTCATATATGTTATAAATATACAAAACCATCTCTTTTTAACAACTTTTGTTAATAATTCTAGTTATTTTGATAAAATTGCATTCTGAGCATGACATTGAATCTCAAGTTGCATTCCATCTATAGATTCGACATAAATACGTATAAACTGAGACGAAAACATTCCACAATGGCAACGTATTCATTGCATCACATTGGAAAATGTGAAAATAAAGGAAGTAATATCAGAAATAAGTTATACTATATATATACAGGGTGGTTCGTAACTGGTGGTACAAGCGGAAAGGGGGTGATTCTACGCGAAAAAAGAAGTTGAAAATATAGCATAAAAATTTTTTTTCATTTTTTTTAATTTTTTTAAAAATCTACAGTGAGATCCGTTATAACGAGATGTGCTAAAATGCACGCGTACCGAGCGAAAATTCAAAGTCGATTTTCTCGAAAACAAAGCCTCGAACGAAAAAATTTTATTCTATATTTTCGACTTCTTTTTTCGCGTAGAATCGCCCCCTTTCCGCTTGTACCACCAGTTACCAACCACCCTGTATATAAATATATTTACTTAAAATGCAATTCTTCATTTGTAAGTCAAATTATGTCACTTGAATCAACTTATTACTAGCATCACGTACAGTTATTACAATGGCGTTCAGTTTAGCCGCTTTTTCATATATCGTGGCCTTAATTGTAGATGCTATTTTGATCATTTTTGCAATATTTCATGTACGTACTTCTTCGAAACTATAATGTCTGTTTCTCAAAACAAAACAGTAATTAAAAATGTGTACACGTCTGTTCAATGCGAATTATTTCTAACCTTAGCGATATAGGTGTAAAGTTAAATGACTCTAGCTAGACATTATATTTTTCAGGTTATTGCATTTGATGAATTAAAAACTGGTTATAAAAATCCGATTGAACAATGCAATAGTTTAAATTCGGTAAGAGTTTGAAATTAGTTTCTTATAATATCATATTTACAAAATCAATAACAAGTGTATGTAAAATTAAGTGTTTAAGTAAATATATGTATAATGTATATGTATATATATACATATATATAAAATATATATATATATGTATGTATACATGTCTGTGTATATTTCAGCTAGTTATTCCAGAATATGGATTACACGTTTTAATCAACATTTTATTTCTAATTAGTAGTCAATGGCTTTCATTGCTTTTAAATATGCCATTGATAATATATCACTTGTGGCAATATTATCATAGACCTATCATGTCTAAACCAGGTCTTTATGATCCCACTAGTATAATGAGTGCTCAAGCTCTTAAAATTCATCAAAGGGAAGGATGGAGTAAACTTACATTTTATCTTTTATCATTTTTTTACTATTTATATGGGTAAGTTTTAGAATATATAGGGGCTAGTAGACGTAACTAATTATGAAATGTTTATTATAAGAAAATGTAATATGTTCTATTTTGTTTCAGAATGATTAGTTCATTGATTCACTGAGGGATGGAAATCATTCTTTATTATTCGCCAATAAAATTTGTTTATAATACATCCTCAGTCATCAATGATTCATCAGGTTAATTTTTTTGTTGGATAAAGTGACTAATTTGTTAAAACGTGTCATTGTTTTTTGTAAAAATAAAATTTCATACTCAAGTAATGTTTTTTTTTCTATTAGCTAGTCATAGAATTCAGTACACTTTTATTAAGGTGTCTAAGTGAAAGACTTTTATTTATTTATTTTAGAGTAGGAAAAGCTCTACTATAAAGAACGTTTATATAAATTGTTTATATATATATATATATACATATATATATAAAAGATGTTTATATAAATATTTAATTATATCAGATTATATTTATACAACGGAAATTTGAATGCTTTTACTTGTATTATTATTACTTGTTCCGTTCTACAAATTTGCGAATAATCATTAATTTGTTAAATTTAAATCTGCGAACTACAGAAGTATATATATACAGAAATATATGTATGATAGGTATGACAGATATACCTAACTTTAACTTATAATGTCTACAATGCTGCTCCCTATCCCAACTTAGAATTAATAACATCAGAAAGGAAATTCCCTCTCTGTTAACATAAATTGATTCTAACCTTAAATTCTTTTCTGAGATATATCAATTTCAACACAGTTCTAACCATTTTCGAATTAATAATCGGCTATTGCATGTTGAGAATTTGTATTATATAAAAATGCCGACTATTAATATTAAACGTGACTTGTTGTTTAAAACTCTTGGTAAAACATATTGTAAGTTATAAACATTTAAATAATGAACATTGTAAATTGTATCAACTTCTTTTACGTTTATAATTATCCTAACTAAATATTTACCAATATAATATTTATAAGTAAATTAATCTATAATATGATTTTAGCGGATGCCGAATTTCAAAATTTATGTTTTGAGTTTGGATTAGAATTGGACGAAGTGGTATGCAGCTTACATATTATTGGATACTATCAAATGTATTAATGCATATAAGAAATGAATTGCTATATATTTCCATATGTAGTATTACATCGAAATAATCCTAGAATTAGTTAAATTTTGATTTTTAGACAACAGAGAAACAAATGATGACAAAGGAGCAAAATTTAAATCATAGTGGAGAAGTATCTGAAGAAGTTGTATATAAAATTGATATACCTGCAAACAGATACGATCTATTATGCTTAGAAGGTTTAGCTCTTGGACTTCTTATATTTCAAAAGCAGTATGTACAATATATGTTTATTATATAATTTTTTAATTTTTCTATTATTTTTCATACCACAGGATCTTATTAAAATCACACTATTATTTTAACAATTCCATTAGTTCATTATTAGTTCATTAGTATATAATAACAATACGTATTATATATTAGCAATAACTGCAATAATAAATAAACATATGATATAGACTACTACAATTAGAAAACTTTTTTAAATATAGAATGGATATACCACAATATACAAAGATATTTCCAAGTACAAACACACAAAAGATTATAATGACAAAGCAGGTATATATATGATTTTTATTATTATCAATGTTTTTTTAATTAAAATTAACAAAGCTAATTCAATTGAAAAATAAAAACTAAAAATTAAATTGAAAAGTTGAACTTTTAATAAAACTGTTTTTTTATGTTATATTTTAGTGTATGAAAGTTAGAGGGCATATTGTTGCAGCCGTTTTACGTGATGTTACATTTTCTAAAGATTCTTACAACAGCTTCATCGATCTTCAAGAAAAATTGCATCAAAATATAGGTAGGAAAAGAACTTTAGTATCGATTGGAACCCATGATCTAGACACTGTCAGAGGTCCATTTTTATATGATGCAAGGCCACCAACTGACATTTGTTTTAAGCCACTTAATCAAGAGATGGAATATACAGCAGAAGAAATTATGAATTTATACGAAGTGGGTGTTTTTACAATTTGAATGCCTACTTAATATGGACTTTATTTTAAAGAGAATTTTATATTAAGTTTTATTTTAGAACCATGCGCAATTAAAGCAATATCTTCATATTATAAAGGACAGTCCAGTTTATCCTGTAGTAGAAGACAGTAATGGAATCATTTTATCACTCCCACCTATTATCAATGGAGATCATTCAAAAATTACACTCAATACTAAAAATATATTAATTGAATGTACTGCGACAGATTTAACAAAGGTACATAAAAGCTATTATTTTCTTTATATTTGTAAGAGATAAATCAACTAATAGCAAACTTTTGAAAAATTTTGTAGGCAAAGGTAGTACTGGATACTATAGTTTGTGCTTTTAGTCAATACTGTAAAATAAAATATTCAATAGAAGTGGTGGAAATTGTGTATCCTGATAAACAAGTATTTCATTATCCAGACTTGAAATATCGAATTGAGGAAATGGATTGTGAAAAAGCAATAAAATACATTGGTATAAAACAAACTGCGGAGGAATTGGCTAATTTGCTTTCTAGAATGTCTTTGAAAACATCTATTAAAGATGGTAATATATTAAACATCGAAGTGCCTCCTACAAGGCATGATGTGATACATGCATGTGATATTTATGAAGATATTGCTATAGCGTATGGATATAATAAAATTGAGAAAACTATACCGCATTTATCTACCACTGCGGATGAGGTACTAATAAATGTTACAATCGCCGATTTTTAAGCTGGTTAAGTTTTAGATAAAATATTTCCTATTCATGTTTTAAATTTAGTTTCCACTGAATAAATTATCCGATCAACTACGGATAGAATTGGCTTGTGCTGGATTCACAGAAGCATTGACATTTTCATTGGTATGCAAAATTTTTGAGCACACAGTTATACAAATTGTACAAATCAGTTATAGTTGAAAAGTTTCTCCTTACAGTGTTCTCGTGAAGATGTAGCGGATAAATTAGGTCACGAATTATTAAACATACCAGTTGTCCATGTGTTAAATCCAAAAACATTAGAATTTCAGGCATGTACAAAGAGTTTATCAAGACCATAGGCTCAGGTTAGTTTAAAATATAAAATTAACAACATGACAATGTTACAGGTTGCCCGTACCACTTTGATACCAGGATTATTGAAAACGTTAGCTGCAAATAAAAAAATGCCACTTCCTCATAAATTATTCGAAGTTTCCGACATTATATTAAAAGATAACGATGTGGAAGTTGGTGCACGCAATAATCGACATTTATGCGCGGTATATTGCAATAAATCTGACGGTTTTGAAGTAATTCATGGTTTATTGGATAGAATATTACAAATATTAGAAGTGCCATGGAATGGCAGTAAGAATGCAAATGGATATTATCTTCGTGCTGTCGATGGTAAAGCATTATATGAAAAATTCCATGTACCAAATTATACGTATAAGAGAACGCAATTTATTTAGAAATATTGTTTTTTAACAAGGTATCATAATATCTATTATCCTAAGTCCATATAATTTCTTTCAGATCCCACTTTCTTCCCTCATCGTTGTGCGGAAATATTATGTTATGATAAAGTGATTGGAAAGATGGGAGTTCTACATCCAGATGTAATTTCAAGATTTGAATTAAATACACCTTGCTCTATATTAGAAATTGATATCGAATGCTTTTTATAAGACAATTATAAAACTTATTATTGATAATATGTTAGAATAAATTATACACTTCTCCTATAATTATTTTATTATTAAGCAAAAATTTAATTAAAAAATATAAATGATGCAGCAAATATAAGCGTTAAATATCATACACGAATACTGATTTGTGTTTAACAGATGAGATTAATTTTAATTAAATCATTAATCTTTTTCTCCTTTAAAATCGAATATATTGGAGGGAGGAAGGAAAAAAACAATTTTTAAATTTACATTTTCTTTTTTTAATTTGTATCATAATTGCTATAGTTTGTTTACAGTTTTTACTCAAAATATTAGTATACATATATATGATGAACATTATGGTAATAATTATTAGGATTTGAAAAAAGATAAAGGAGGATATGAGAATATTGTGAAAGGAGAAATCGAAATTACCCGCCATGGAAAACGAGAGATGGCATATCGAATCGTATGCAATGATATAGATGGTCGAAGAGGCATCCGGGAGACTCGGTGTCGGCCATAGTAGAAATGGCGGGTGTTAGCTTACGTGAATGACGGCGATCGTGCTCAAGATTATTATCGAAAAGCAAGTGTTCTGTGTGTGTTTTGCGACACGGGAACGATACCTTAGTATCATATGATTCATCTGGAAGGTAAAGATGCAGAATGTAGCACAAGGAACAACCTCGGATAGTCAGAAGCACGAGAAATCAGCAAGCGTTCACCACGACATTGGAAAGACGTCGTCGACTCCCCAGTCTTCGAATTCCAGCCCTACCAAGTCAGAGACGGAAACCTTCTCCGAATTGCAGCCGCACTTTATGGCAGACTCGTCGGAGAGCGAAGAGGACAGTGTTTCAGAGGTAAACCGAGTCAAAAAAACATGCCACATCGTGAATAAGGTATTCCTACAATCAGAGGTTGAACGCACGCATGTACGTATGCACGCACACGCACGAATTCGTCTGTCGCTTCTGTCGTCCATCCAGTTACCATCCCCTCCACACCCTCCTCCTCCGTCTTCTTTCCTCCTGTTCTCCTTTCTTACATACTTGCTTTTGCTCTTGCTCCTGCTTTTGCTTTCGCTCCTGCTTTTGCTCTTGTTGTTGCTCTTGCTCTTGTTCTTGCTATTGCTTTTGCTCTTACTCTTATCTTTATCCTTATTCTTATCCTTATCCTTGCCCTTATCCTTGCTTTTACCCTTATCCTTATCCTTACCTTTATCCTTATCCTTACTCTTACTTGTTCTCTTTTCCTCTATACTATATATTTCTATACCTATCTATATGTATACGTCATAGACGTATATACGTGTTGTATGCTTACGCACACGTCAGCTTTTCATGAAATTTATTTGAATCGTTGCTAATCTTGTTTGATATTTCCGAATTTTATTGCAAATCCAATATAATCCACTTTTTATGATATAAGAGTTCGAAAATTAGTTGTATCAAAGAATCATCGATCAACATGCATATTTCTTCTAGCGTCAGTACTTATTCTTGATTTTGTATTTTCATATGTTTTTCCATTTATACTCAATAATCAATAATATTTAAAGAAGAAACTCCCTATTCGAGAAGAAAAATAACGAAATTAACAGAATTATAACCTATATCGTCATATGAAAAACAGCATAAAACTTTTGTATCGTATCGTATTGTATCTTATTGTATCGTATCGTATCGTATCGTATCATATCGTATCATATCGTATCATATCATATCATATCATATCGTATCGCATCATATCGCATCATATTGTATTGCCTGGTGTCTTGCAGTTTATTTAGTACAACCGTATAGGTAATTAAACATCGGTGGGTATTTTATAAAATTGAAAAAGCAATAAGAAATGATGACATTTGATTCTTTCTGGAAATCTTAAATTTGATTCCGAACATGAGACGTTGGTACGAGAATCGCTAAACTAATAAATACTACGAAACAATCTCCACAAATTTTTCGACAAAAGGAAGAAAGGAAGAAAGGAAGAAAGGGAAAAAGAGAACAAGATGGGAATTTACGCAGGGATGTTATATAATCAAAATATATGCGTTATGATAGCTAATAAAACGTCATGGTGTATTGTAATATGGAAAATAATTTTACTTGTTTGTGATTTTATCAGAAATATACTTGCCATCTTTTTAGATTGTAGTCCACCTTATTGATCTTTATCTTTTATAGATCGTTTGTAGATATTTATTAAGTATTAGGCCGATCAAACGATTTAGACATTAGACAAAGTTGTACATTATACATGAACTACATTATAATCTAGGGTAGAAACGATTGAAAAATTTGTACATTTATTTTATTTGTATAATCTGATGAAGGCACTTTGCAAAGGTATATGTGTAAATGATAAATAAAGCAGTCCGGTTAACTGCACTGCATAATCAAGCGCGTGCGCACGCACGTGTACGTCCATGTATATGTTTATACATTTATGCAAGTAGATATTTATGCATGTAGACTACTAGTCTGAATATGTATTGTGCAGAGAGGTATATGGAGGTAGAGTTTTCATTGAACTAGTAATCTTGCATGTAGTGTACGTTGGGCCGCGCGAGCTCTCGCATGTGCCTGTTCGTACATAGATAAGTGTATGTGTGTAGCTATTTTACGTCCGCTTGCACTACGTTGTGCGCCACCCAGCGGAGTTCTCTTCGGCCGCGTTTCTCGCGTATTCGTGCGAGTCGTGAGCCTGTTTGTCTGCTTGTGGCCGTCTCTTTACCTTCTCTATACGTCCATAGGCGTATTTTTTACCTTACTGTAACACTTAACTGTTTCTGTTATACTGTCAACGAGATTTCGGCTCTATCCTTACCTCTGTTCTTGCCGGCTACTCATCGGTTCTGCCCTGTGTCGCTCGTGTTCGTGGCGTGGAAATTCTAGAGAGCAGAGCCACCATATTATTCTATATTCTACCAACAGCGGTTCTTAAACGGAGTTCTTTTTTTTCACCATTTTTTTCGACGAACAATTATATTGGCTAGTACGACGTGTGCTTACAAGATCAGTGAATACGCGACTCGTATCGTCGTTTTCTCTTTACTTTGGTTTCGATAAAACAAACGGGACGCGTTCACTACGCACGCGAAGAGTATACCAAGGAAGTGTCAGTTTCCTCCTTCTTGGAATGGCTGCACATTGTTCTTATGTCTCTGTGTTCACTGCCAAGCCGTTTTAATCATATACAGAAAATAAAATAGTTTCACCTACATTCTGATTTGCGTTTATGTCTCATTGGTTTCCACTCGTCGCGCAAGAGGATATGACCTCTACGCGAGATGTACGTACTATAATTTAGATCGTCTACAAATTATCCTTTTCTTTTTACAGACAAAACTTTCGGTTGAAAGCAATTTGATTTCACCTAAAATTTTCTGCATATTGCAACGATATTGCTTTCTTTGTTTATATCATTTCTACTATTACCTGGCTTTTACTCTATTCTTTTCTATTCTTCATTTTTCCTCCATCTTTGACCAACACTTTCTCAACAATTCATTCATTTCATCTAATTTGCCTGAATCTCTTTCCTATATTTCTATACAATTTCTTCTCTATTTTTTATCCTTTTTTTCTTCCATCCTTTCTTCCTCTTCTTTATTTCCTTTTTCCATTTCCATCAAGTGGAGGGGATTTTCTGTTATACAATAACCTCAATTACCATTGTTCTTGCATCTCAGCAAAATTGTATCATACATATTCCACATATAAACTTGTTAGTTTTTTACATTGATAAAATATCAGACTAAGGTCTACCTAATTTAAAATCTTTCAAGTTTATTTTAAGCCACAATTATAAAACTTGAGTGAAACAGATATATTAAGGAAATATGACTCGGCAATCTTTAGATTAATTTCTATAATCATTTTGTGTCTTTCCTGATAAAAGTACTGAATCAAATTTAGTAATTAATAGTTTCTCTATGTAGTTAATTTATTATGAACTAAACATATAAACTAGACATAATACGTATTTATAATAGTGATAAAAAGAAATTGTGTTATTATAATTACCTATAGTATTCTACTAGAATTTCCTAAGTAGAAGGAAGCACCCTTGCTGGAATATATTTTCGTATTTATTATCTATTTATTAATACATCATAGTTTATGATACGTTTATGTCAAATGAAAATTTACTACACTACTTTTATATCTTAATTACTAGGTTTAAATTGTTTTTGTATATTGATTTTGTTGGAAAAAATTTTATCTTATTACTTACAGGTGGAGTGTTTTGCAATTGATCAGGTTGAATTAGACGAAGGTCATCATTTAGAATCGTCCAAGCTTCTGTTAACTTCTGAAGATCCAGAGAGATCTGTGGATCCTGAAACTCAGGCTCGATTAGAATCGTTGCTGGAAGTAGCTGGTATTGGCAAGTTGTCATCAGGCGATGGGAAGCACTTGCCCGATCACGAAGTGCTCCGTCGCATAACATCTAGTGTTTCTTGTGCATTAGATGAAGCAGCAGCTGCATTGACTCGTATGCGCAGCGATAATCCACGCACACAAAACGAAAAGCGCTCTCTTGTAGAGGCGTGTACTGACGGAGACGTAGGTACAGTTAGAAAATTATTAACAGAAGGACGCAGTGTTCACGAGACTACAGAGGAGGGAGAGAGTTTGCTCTCTCTCGCCTGTTCAGCTGGATATTACGAACTTGCTCAGGTTTGAATTTTGTGTATGATCATTCATTTATGTTATAAGTGCTCATTTTGTATCTGTGTGCTAGTGCGATCTTGCGCGCATGTAAAAGACAGAGAGAGGGAATGTGCGTGCAAATGTGTGTGAGTAAGAGAAAAAGAGAGAAACAGCTTTTCTTGAAATATTTTATGTATAATTTCTGTGTACATGTGTTTGTATGTACACATTCAGATACAATGTTGTCATTATTGCTGATATTAAATATAATCTTTATGTTTTGTCTTTTTCTTCTAAACATATGCAGAAGAATATTAAAGATTAATTCAATATATCATTTAAGGAGAAATATTAAAAATAAATAAAACAAACAATAATATCGTTCAGTCTATTTGTAGAGAACTTTTTATAATT